AGGTCGATCATGAATCGGTGTCAAAGACAGCACTAACAGTATCCGAGGTTCATCTACAATCAACCGCGAATACTGGGGGGCATTACCCTCGGATGTCAACTTTTTACGGGGAAATTACTTCATAATAGAAGAGTCTCGATAGGAAAAATTTGTCGTAAGGGCCAAACGGTAAAACGAACCGTGCCCACATATGTTACTCGAGCCCTGGAATAAAACATTTACGTATGTGTAACTATTTTCCACAAGAATAAAGAGAAGTACTTTCCTTGCAATTATCTTATGTCTTAGAAAAATTTACACTTTACAATTTTGTACTTTCGATCTCTTAAGGAAACGAGCTCATGGGCCGATTATAACCAGAGTTCAGATGATCACCCCCACACTCGGGGACTTTCGTCCGAAAAATAAACTTGAACAGATCGAACTATTAATAATCGGGGGCATAAGACCTCTCAGGCAATCCCCAAATTTTTAAGGCCATGGCCATACCCATTCGGGGATTGTTATCTTAGGAAAGCCTAGATAACTCGGGAAAACAAGCTCATAGGGCTATGCCCGAATTAAAAGGCTACGGCCACATTAACACGGCTAGGAGACGCCTGAGAACCGTAAAAAAAAATAGGCCATCAAAATTTTTATAACCGGTTTTGAAGGCTACCCTCGACAAACTACGGTCTGAGTTACTTACTTTGGAAGAAGATTCCTGGTAACCCCGAACCTCCGAGATGACTCAAAAACAAAAATAATGTAAAGGCAGGATTGTTCAAACTTACACAACCTAAGCTATTTTATTCCAACCTTTGTGAATACAAGAAATAAAGCAAAGGACTATTCGAAATCCAAAAGGGAAAAGAAAGCCTTGTATATATTTACACAATAGTCTTTCACAGAAGCCAAAATGGCTTTATTCGAAAAAATTTACAATGGCTGAAATGGCCTCAAAAAGATGCAAAAGAAAAGCAAAAAAATTTAAAGGCCTAAGTGGCTTGGTCTTCATCAGCGGCAACATCTCCGCCCTCGGGATCTTCCCCGCCTTCAGACTCACTTAAACTATCTGAGTCTTCCTCGGGAAAGGCCAGCTCCCGAGCGCTGGCTTCCTCTTCTTTGGCGTTCTCGAGTTCAGCCAGTATATCGAAGCCCTGAGCATGGACTCCCTCAAGGGTTTCCCTTCGAGCTTTCCACTTTGCATGATCCACTATGCTTTTGGCCTGCGCCTGGATGGCCTCGACGTCGACCTTATATTGGGCCACTTTAGCATCGGCTTTGGTATTTTACCACGACCACCTCAGATTTGGCCACCTCGAGCTCATTGGCCAAGTTTGCTAATTGGGACTGAAGCTCCCCGATTTTATTAACCTGCACCGAGGCCTTTTCTCTTGCAGCTCGGAGCTGGATCTCGACCGACTCCAGTTGTGCTTGGGAAGCTTCCCTTTTCAAAGCTAAGATGTCCATATTTTTCTTGAACTCCTCAGCCTCAACTCGAATTGTATCTACTTGTTTCTGAAGCTCCCCGATCTATTCAAGCCTCTGCCGAACCTGTAGCATCGGATCGTTAGTCATTATCTCTAATTCGTCTGTGCTGTCGTGAAGTATTCGGAATACTTACTCGGCTATCTCGGCATGCTCATCCCGAGCCTTTACTAAAACGGGCTGAAGCTTCTCACTGAGAAGCTTGTAGATATCACTTTTCTCAGTGAGGTCCCCGATCTCGGCCTCGTGATGAGTTAATTCCTCCATATATCGAAGGAAAGCCTCGTGATGCAGCACCGAAGCCTGCAAGAATAAGGGAAGATATTATTTTACAACTTTAAAAGTTAGAATATATGAGAAAAAAACACGCAAACTTACCCGATTTAATGCTTGTTGGGCTTCATTGAATAGGTAGGGGTTTTCTACCTCGTCCATAACTGCATGATCTTCTTCCGTCACTAAACACCGAAGGTAACTAGCGACCCCACGGTGGCATAGAAAACCGGGCGTCCTCCGGGATAGAAAAAGCTATTGACCGTCTTCGGTCAGGATTAACACGTGGGGACGGGAATTGACCCACCAATTTTGGGCTCGATGAAGACCCGGTGGCACCCGACAACGGCTCCTTCCTTGGCACCGGCAGGTCATCGAGCACGGTGATGTCTTCCAAAGCAGTGAACTCAACCCCATCCAAGAAGCTGTGGATATCAGTCACCCCCTGAGGACTCAACATACCGGCCTCACGAAGCATGGCATCCAAAATCTGAGGAGACCCGTTGATGTCGATCGCTCCAAGTTCGCCTATCGGGGTACTTTCCACAGCTCGAGACCTAACGCCCCCGGTCTCTCTCAACTCCCCTAGCTTGAGACAAAATGGGATCGACCCTTCCTGGCTCGGAAGCTTCAGCCAGAGCTCTCTCACCGACCTCCTCATGTCGGGATGTTTCAACTTCAGCGCCCGCTGGTTCGAGAACTTCTTGTACGGTGACACCAGCCCCCACGCGGGCCATCAACTTGGATTTATCTTCCTCTTCTTATTCTTCAGACTCATCTCTTAATCGGCGGATTGTGTTCGAGGACATAGGACTGGTGTCTCCCCTGGGTTTGCGCGACCTCTTCGTTGGTTTCTTCTTTTTCGAGCCCGGGAAACTCGAAGCCCCTTCTTTTCTTCTCTTTGGCCTGCTCCGGAGAAGGTGGTCGGGGAAGGACTTCTTCACCACCAGATGGGGGCCTCATTGCAACATCCTTCCCGAGGCCTAAAAAGGAAAAACGATGAGCAAGCCTGAGAAAAAGCCCGAACAATAACCGTTCTAAGAAAGAAAATTACCATGATTGTGGGCCTCCCATCAACCCTTCGATAACTCCTTCCAAGCACGCTTGAAGTATGGTCTCTGCGACACCAAGCCCTCGACCTATTGCTTGAGTTCGGGAAGTACTTCCGGAACCTAGGCCACAACTGCAACACCGGGAAAGAAGATAAGAAGTAAAATAGCTAAATTGAACATTCAAGGCGAAGTATTACTCACGATTCGTGTTCCATTTCTCAGGAAACGGCATGCCTTCAGCAGGGATCAGGTCCGAAGTCCTTATTCGGACAAATCAACCTCGGTCACGAGCCTCGTCTATGCTCGAGAACGGGGCCTTGCTGGCTCGGCGAGCAAGCTTGATCAGCCCTCCTCGATGGAGTCGGGGACTGTAAAGATGCATAAGGTGATTGAGGGTGAAAGGACATCCCTCGATTTTGCTTACGAAGAATCGGAGGAGAATCATTATTCTCTAGACGGAAAGATGGATCTGGCCAAGGGTCACTTCGTACCTCTTGCAGAAGACGACGATGACAAGGTCTAAGGGACCCAACGTGAAGGGGTAAGTGCAAACACTTAGGAAACCTCTGTGTGGGTAGTGTTCGATTCCTCAGGTGAAGGTACCGCCACATGCTTATCAACCCAGTTGCAATCCTCTTTAACCTTGGCAAGGATGTCATTAGTAATTGTACATATATACCTCGAGACCGATTCACATCGACCCGCTACCGAGGAGGTCTTTCCTATCTTAAAATCGGCAACAGTAAGGCACCCTCCCGGAACGAAATCCTCAAGGGGATACTCCACCGCAGCCCCGTCGCCGGCGGGCCGTGATGAAGAGGCATCCTCCTTTTGTGGTACAGTCTTAGAAGTTTTCACCATCGTAGAAGAAAAAGGAATTAGGATGGTATGCAGTTTGCTAAAAGTTCAAGAAATTTGGGTGCAAGAATTACAAAGCAAAGAGATTTTTGAAGAGAAGCAAGAATGCGAGAAGCTTTGAACGTAAAGTCTGAAATAGAGGGAGGTTATAATACTTATACTTGTCGGTGACGGTTCAGAACTCATGTTGGCCAACCAACAACTGACAGGCATTTAATACCTTGGTAACTGGACCGACGGGACGTTTCGAGTCGTTTCTTACGTCATGATCGGGTGTATCAGTGGCGTTCATCACCTACGTCATGGTTCATCGAGACGGAGCTCGGAAATTCATATCGTTTCTCATCATCTTTTCTCCGAGAAATAAGGGGACTATCTATATACGGTCAAAACCGGGCTTATCCTTTTGTATGACTAATCGAGACCGGACATGATATGCCAAAGTTCAACCTCGTGTTATATCGAACCATGCTGCAAAGTTAGATTGCCGAGCTCGTGAACCAGAGACCGATCAAGATCGAGATCGACCAAGATCGAGACCGAGCAAGATAGTGATCGAGCGAGATCGAGGGAAGCTTACCGAGACAAATAACAAAAAGCCAAAATATCCGCAATTGGGCGAAGATCACGGCGGGAATCTCGTCAAGTATCCAGAGAGGCCGATTAATTAGCTAATCATGGGATTTCTTACCTCATATAGAATTGTATCAAGAGTAGGACTCCCCTACTATATAAAGGGGATCTGATCATTTGTAAAGACATCAAATTCACGCAATACAAAGCAATATACTGTCATTTTCTAGCTTTCATTATTTTGTTATTCTGTTAATAAGCCAGTTCAAACATCTTTTGATTCAAGGGTGACTGAACTCGAGGGCCAAGGCTATTTAATTCGTGTGGTTTGCATTGACTCTTTTATCGTCAATTTCTATACTAATTTATTCTTCTTAATTTGTACCAAGTTATATCACATGTCCTTAAAACCGCGTATAAATTCAATTGTTATCCGATTTTAGGGTAAACATAGTTCTCTTCGTTTTTCCCCATATTTATATTTTACTTTCTTTTGCCCAGAACATTCTTAGAGCTGACCATGATCCTACCAATGGTCGTAACTTGTCCAAATTTTCACATCTAATCACATCATTAGAAACTTACCTTTTCTTTTATAGATCTCATCACAGGCCGACATGCTAACTAACTTGGATTTTGATAACTTAACAATGTGCTGCATGCCCCTATGTATGATGCCCGGTAGGAATAACTCGTCTCAAGTTCAGGCGTGATTAAATTAGTACTCCTAGTTACTCTGGGGTATTGAACACAATAATTTAATGGTAAGTACGATTAATAAGTCCTTCTCCTCAAAGAAAATCAATTCAATGATAGATTTTAAACACAAATATTGTGAAATGTATTTACATGGTTAGTATAATTTTCTTGGAATATATATATAACTGGAAATTTCTGTCTCAGTAATGTATGTAGGTCGTCTTTCACATAGGAGCAAGATGACCTTGTTTAGACAATTTATCTTGCATCCACCTCTGAAGCATTTCTAGTGCTGCCTTAGGTTGATCCATTGGAACCATGTGACCAGCATCATGGACCTTAAGGAAAGTTAAAGGTCCATAGTTCTTTTGAACACCTTTCTCTACACCATCTACTGCAAAAGAAACTTGTGTGGCTTTTCCAAAGGCTTTTTGCCCTGACCATTTCATTGCATGCACCCATCTCGAATTCCCTGCATGCCCATTATAGCAAGAAATAGAGTTTAGTTGTCAATTACTAGGTTGTTGTCGCATCGATCATTCAACTTTCAGTTTATTGTAACAGAATTATGTTTATATATCATATAAAATAAAAATAAGTACCGGAAGTACTAAATCCGGTCATAGAGATAATATCCATGTAACACAATGTATAAGAAAGCCCATTTTCAGACCCAGGCTAAAATCCAATATTCTTTTTTTTTTTTGGTTGGTCGGAAAATGTTTTGTTTTGTCAATAAGTAGTGTCACATGGATATTATGAATGTAAGGTCAGTTGCCGATATGACTATACTATTACATGTAACATGTTATACATTTGGCAGCCTACTTGCACTTTCTTAGAACCGGCTTTAACATCTTTGACTTTCTATTTCATAGACGTTGTGTCAGAGACGAATGAAGCTTACCAAGCCAATTGCAGATAAGGTCATATTCCCCAGCATACACAAGTAGCTTGATACCATCCTCAAGAAGTGAAGGAATTCCCAATTCAAGATTCCTCATCCAGTCCAACTGCATTGCCTGGTAAACCTCAGAGCTACATGAAACAAATTCAATATCCCCAACACCAAGGGCCTTTCGAACTTGTTGATCATTTAGGAAAGTTTCCATTTTGGAGAAGTCATAGCAGAGATCGCCCTCACATTTCTTCCGCACATCATAGTACTGCAGCTCAGAAATTACATGACTTTAACTTCTCTACACTAACTAACAATGTAAAGAATTTTTAACGTCACCTAAAAGATAACTACAGATAACCATTCATAATAAGTGAGATCAGTAATTTGGAAAATAAGACTGCAGGTAGCGTGTTGTACATCATTAGCTCAGAGAAAATGAGATTGCTCTTTCTTACATTTTTGTCACCAGCAATGTCCATAATCTTGTTGAAGATGCTTGTACAAACAAGATATGCAGCCATGCAAGCAGTTCCGCCATCTTTTCCTAATATTATTTGCATAGAAATAAAGCTAATTAATGTCAAGATTAGCTGCTGCTATATGAAGGAGAAAGAACTTAGAGGATAAACAAAAAATTAAGAATTACCACAAAGCTTAATTGCCAGCTGACATTTTGGATATGATTTCTCTATGGCATTGTAATCAGATTTCTTTATCAATTTCATATCCAGAGCATAGTCAGTGTAGGCTTTGTATTGAATTTCTGGATCAGTGAGTCCATTACCAATAGCAAATCCCTAAAAACAAATGTACTTAGTTAACAAATTCAAATTAAACCTACCTAAAGGTAATTACTGGATAAAGAAAAAGGGATGATATGAGGTAAGAGTTAGAAATACCTTGAGATTTACGTAGATTCCTTCTTTATTTTTGTTTCCTTGGTGAACCCGAGAAGCAAATGCAGGAATGTAATGCCCAGCATATGATTCTCCAGTAATATAGAAATCATTTTTTGCATACTGTGGATGTGCCTTGAAGAAGGCCTATCATCAAAAGAATTTGAATTAAATTTTATTAATTATATCAGTTAAACCTTAGAGGTTTATCACGAGCTAAAAAAAGAAGAATTGAAAGAATAAGATCAACCTGCAAGAAGTCATAGAGATCATTGCTTACGCCCCTTTCATCGTGACGAATATCATCATCGTTTGAACTATAACTGAAACCAGTTCCAGTTGGCTGATCGACGTATATAAGGTTTGAGACCTGTCAAATTGCAATTTATCTTATGTTATCATTCTTCAACTAACAAATGAAAGTTGCATGTTTGATTATAGGATTTAATCAGTGTAAACGACTTTTTACACTATTGTAATGTTTTAACATGTTATAGCATGTTGTATTCGTCCGGTTACTAATCCCACTCAAATAAAGAAAAGCGTAGTAGTCATTGATGTCAATAAGCGTTGAACTACTTTTGAATTTTTTAAATTCTGCAAGTCACAACTAATGAACAACAAGTGTTAATTAAAAGGAAAGAAATGCTAGTAGGTAAAAAGGTATTTTGCATGATGGAGAAAGGTTGAATAACAAATAAAAACATGGAGGGAATTCTTTTAGACTTTTACCATATTCAAAAGATCTAACCGACGTTTCTTGAAAAATTAATTGGGTAAAATAAAAAATAAAAAAAAACTGAAAAAAAAAGAAAAAGAAAAAGGAAGAAAACAAGAACCTTGTCCCAGCCGAAATCATTCCAGACAAGAGACATGTTATCTGCAATTTTGAATGGTCCGTTTTCGTAAAACACAGCCAATTCACTGCTACAACCTGGCCCTCCTGTAAGCCATATAACTACTGGATCATTCTTCCTGCTCCTCGATTCAAAGAAAAAGTAAAACATCCTGCGAAAAACATAGGAGTATTTTAAAAACACACATAGATAATTTAGCATTAATTAATAATACCCATAAATGAAGCAAAAAGAGCATTTAATTCAATTCAAACCTTGCATCTTTAGTATGTGGAAGACGATAATAACCAGCGTGATGACCCAAGTCTTGAACTGTAGACCCAGAATTACCAACATAAGATAAATTCAATTTCTTCTCAAAAAGCGTCTGTTCAGAATCCCGTGTTGCTGCAGCCTTGTTAATATCATGTTTAGGGAATAAATTAAGCTGTCTGATTAGCTTTTCTGCCATTGTTAATGGGAATTTGGGAGTAGAAGATAGGAAAAAATCATCATCATCATCATTAGAATTTAAAGTTGATGAGAAAGATAAGGAAATGGAAGCAAGAAACAGAGTTAGAAAGAGAAGAGAGGAAGATGAAGGCATTCTCAGGATTCGGGTTTTTGAATGTCTTTGTATGCAGTTGAGATTTATAAGGGGAAGATGAGTGTGAAATGAGCATTCCTAGTACTAGTAGGTGTGCGTTATAATGTGAGAGAGAAAAGAAAAAAGAGAGAGATGCTGAGAATTTGAGAGAGGAAAAGTGTGTGGGTGGGGGGGGGGGGTAGGGGGGGGAAGGAACGGTGGGTTAACGGGTGGTTTGTTTGTTAGTTAGATGCTGCTAAGTGTGGACTAAGTACCTAGTTTCGT